GACTGCTATTCAATCTATAACGGTAAAAGAAGTTTTTTGTTTTTAAATCCAAACTATTGTGACACAGGATCTAATTAGTGGCACTTGTCAGCGTATCCACTGTTAGCGTAACACACCCGCTTTAAGGACACTGACTGCTATTCAATCTATAACAGTGAAAAAAGATTATTATTTTTTTAAAATCCAAACTATTGTGACACCAGATCTAATTAGTGGCACTTGTCAGCGTATCCACTGTTAGCGTAACACACCCGCTTTAAGGACACTGACTGCTATTCAATCTATAACGGTAAAAAAAGTTTTTTGTTTTTAAATCCAAGCTATTGTGACACAGGATCTAATTAGTGGCACTTGTCAGCGTATCCACTGTTAGCGTAACACACCGGCTTTAAGGACACTGACTGCTATTCAATCTATAACAGTGAAAAAAGATTATTTTTTTTTTAAATCCAAACTATTGTGACACCAGATCTAATTATTGGCACTTTTCAGCGTATCCACTGTTAGCGTAACACACCCGCTTTAAGGACACTGACTGCTATTCAATCTATAACAGTGAAAAAAGATTATTATTTTTTTAAATCCAAACTATTGTGACACCAGATCTAATTAGTGGCACTGGTCAGCGTATCCACTGTTGGCGTAACACACCCGCTTTAAGGACACTGACTGCTATTCAATCTATAACAGTGAAAAAAGATTATTTTTTTTTTAAATCCAAACTATTGTGACACCAGATCTAATTAGTGGCACTTGTCGGCGTATCCACTGTTAGCGTAACACACCCGCTTTAAGGACACTGACTGCTATTCAATCTATAACAGTGAAAAAGGATTATTTTTTTTTTAAATCCAAACTATTGTGACACCAGATCTAATTAGTGGCACTTGTCAGCGTATCCACTGTTAGCGTAACACACCCGCTTTAAGGACACTGACTGCTATTCAATCTGTAACAGTGAAAAAAGTGGTTTGTTTTTTTTAAATACAAGCTTTGTGTCACCAGATCTAAGTGGTGGCACTGGTCACCGTATCCACTGTTAGCGTAACACACCCGCTTTAAGGACACTGACTGCTATTCAATCTATAACAGTAAAAAAAGTTTTTTGTTTTTAAATCCAAGCTATTGTGACGCAGGATCTAATTAGTGGCACTTGTCAGCGTATCCACTGTTAGCGTAACACACCCGCTTTAAGGACACTGACTGCTATTCAATCTAGAACAGTGAAAAAAGATTATTTTTTTTTTAAATCCAAACTATTGTGACACCAGATCTAATTAGTGGCACTTGTCAGCATATCCACTGTTAGCGTAACACACCCGCTTTAAGGACACTGACTGCTATTCAATCTATAACAGTAAAAAAGTTTTTTGTTTTTAAATCCAAGCTATTGTGACACCAGATGTAATTGGTGGCACTGACTGGGGAAATGGGCACAGTATGCACTGTGAGCCTGACGCAGAAGCTGGCAGCAGTGGCAGACAACTGACTGCTATTCAATCTATAACAGTGAAAAAAGTTTTTTGTTTTTAAATCCAAGCTATTGTGACACCAGATATAAGTGGTGGCACTGACTGGGGAAATGGGCACAGTATGCACTGTGAGCCTGACACAAAAGCTGGCAGCAGTGGCAGACAACTGACTGCTATTCAATCTATAACAGTGAAAAAAGTTTTTTGTTTTTAAATCCAAGCTATTGTGACACCAGATGTAATTGGTGGCACTGACTGGGGAAATGGGCACAGTATGCACTGTGAGCCTGACACAGAAGCTGGCAGCAGTGGCAGACAACTGACTGCTATTCAATCTATAACAGTGAAAAAAGTTTTTTGTTTTTAAATCCAAGCTATTGTGACACCAGATGTAATTGGTGGCACTGACTGGGGAAATGGGCACTGTGAGCCTGACACAGAAGCTGGCAGCAGTGGCAGACAACTAAGTGCATTTACATTAGATAGAAAAAAAAAATCCAAAAAAAGCATACCCTTATCCCTAACCTAGCTATGCTTTTCCCTATCTTATGAACAGCAGCTACACTTTCCCTCCTCTTACTAAGCATGCAGCTTGAGAATGAATCTAAAATGGATGCTGTCCAGTAGGTGGGAGGGTCTGCTAGGGAGGCTGTGCTGCTAATTGGCTGGAATGTGTCTGCTGACTGTGAGGTACAGGGTCAAAGTTTACTCAATGATGACGAATAGGGGGCGGGTCGAACCGCGCATATGTTCGCCCGCCGTGGCGAACGCGAACATGCTATGTTCGCCAGGAACCGTTCGCCGGCGAACCGTTCGGTACATCACTAGTGACCACGTCTGGCCATCTGCTGCAGTTATACAAATACATATATTTGTATATTATTTATAGATAAATATAGAATGTCATTCTAAGTTTATTTTATTACCTATATATACATTAATAACAAAATACAGTTAGAATGAAATTACATATGTATATATAATTTATTAACTTTTTTTTAATATTTTAATTAATTGTATTATTTTATTAATTTATTATTGTAATTATACGTGTATATATAAATATAAAATATATATAGATGTATTATATAGTGGAAAATGTATTTATACTTACTGTAATTTTTTTTTTCCTGGCTATTATTCATGGCAGCATATACACATAGGTACCTACGTCATGCTGCCCCCCTGTTCCCCTTGCCTGGCCTCTTTTCTTACCCCTAAGGCCTCTGGAACTTACTTTGTAAGCCCTGCCCACATGCCATGCAGCTGCACAGTGATAGGTCATGCTGAAACGGCTACCTTCTGGAGGCAGTCAGTGCATAACCGATTTCATTCCACTGTTTTCTCCTCATAACCACATCCTGGTGAAGATTCAGACATCTGACAAATAATAATAACTAAATATTACCTGTGATAAAGTATTGAGTAAAAATGTGCACTGTTAAATTCTATAAGAAACCAGTGAACAGCTTTAAAACAGGCTGAAGACAGTGCTTATCCATGTCTGGAGGCCCTGCAAATACTTACCAAATATGTTTGGGATGTTTATTGTAATTTTCCCTTAATTTTAGGTACTTTCTGGAAATTGTCCTTATCCAAGATGGCTGCCACAACTTGTATTCCCACAATGCAAGTCATCTGTATCAGGCCCATTAAGGCACAAACTGCACACATGTGGCCCTATTTCAAGTGTGTTTGCTATTTAGAGACCAGGGCAAGAACTCTGTCTGAAGCATACATGGTCCCTAAACACCCAGGGAACTGGGAATAACTCACTGGGACCAAAGGGAAGCAAAATAGATAACAAAAGTGCCTACAGGGAAGTTTAAAGGCACCACAGTCTAAAGGCCTCATGGGATAAAAGGTAACACAGTTTTAAAAATGTATCAGTCTTCAAAATGCACTGCAGTTTTTCAAATGTACTGCAGTTTCCAATGACTTGCGGTATTACATGCAACAGTTTTAAATGCAAATTTAAATGAAACGGTTTTAAATGCCACACAGCTTAAGTGCAACACAACTTAAATGCTTCCTAGTAAAAGCACAACCGCATTATGTACCACAATCTTAAAAAAAAGGTACAGCTGTATGATGCACTAGTTTAACGATATCAAGGCTTAAATGCATCACAGCATAATAGCACAACTGCATAATGTACTACAGTAAAAACAGGCAAATAAAGTAATGAAGATAAAAAAACATGTCCGTAAGTAAAGGGAGCAAATTGCTCACGCCCTAAGGGCTTTAGGACAGGAAAAAGACTGAGGACATTAGGGATGGAGCCTCCTTTTAAAACCTTGGTGTTTTTCCTGTCCTATCAGCTGTAAGGGGAAGCGCTAACCCATGTGTAAATGCTGCCATGATTAGCCAGGAAATATATAATATATAATATAATATAATATATATATATATATATATATATATATATATATATATATATATATATATATGTGTGTAACGTCATTCTAATACTAATATATATACTTATATTAACATTAAAATACGCTATGTATGATGTTATATATATATATACATATATATACACACACATTTATTTTAAACATGTTTAATTTTTTTTTCACTTCCCACCAGCAGGGGGACTATCTGACATTTCAGACAGTCCCCTTGCTGGCAGATCCACAGCCAGTTATGGTGCCATGTGACCGCTCTTTGAGAGCGATCACATGGCCACTGGGGGCCTCATTTGCCAGGGGAGGGCTGCCTGGCCTGCCAGGCAGCCCTCCAGAAGAGGATCGCGGTGGAGGTGAGTAGTTGCAGTCTCCTGAAGGTGAAGCCGTTACGGCGTTCTATGCCGCCGCAACAGCTTTAAAGCCCATTATAATGGGGACAGCATAGAATGCCGTAACAGCGTTAAGGGGGTTAATTAAATATCCTTTATGTGTCTTTAAGGCATAAATTATCTGCAAATTAAGATTATATACAAAAATACATGTTCTGGGTGTTCCCATGATTCATTTTATATCATTTTTTTTAAAGTCTGGAATCAGATTACTTTTGGGGTGAGCACCCCTCTAAGCCCCCCAATTTCAGAGGCTTCTTTTGAGGTAACCACAGAAAAGTATAGATTGTATAAAATAGATGTGAGGGGCTTTGGACAGTAATGTCACTTTAATTATACTTTTCATATAGCAGATATGTGATATGCAATGTGATTTAATATATCATAGCATGATCATTTTAATTGACACTGCATTTTCTTTTATGCATCATTCTTTCTGCATTATTATTTATTTTCTTAAATTGTAATGTCTGTTTAGAATATTGCTGGCTTTGCAATATCACATTAATTTTGCATGTTATATACACATGGGAAGGTTTTGAGGTATCCCCCTTGGTATAGGTGGAATACATGGGTGATGCCTTTATCGGACCACAGCTTATAGTCCGCATAAAGATGGTAGTATGTGTTTGCAAATCAGTCAGGGCCCGGGGCTTTGCCTATGGGGAGGGTTTTTATTGTGTCCTTCACCTCTTGTTGAGTGATAGGGGCTGAGAGGGCGTCCCTATAAACTTTTGAAAGAGTTGGCAAGGGAGCGTCACTTAGGTAGTCTTCTATAAACGTGGAGGGTGTTAGCAGATCATATTTAAGGTTGTATAGGGATTCATAGTGTGTTGCGAATTCGTCGCTTATTGCTTTCGGGGCTACTATCCTGTCTCCATTTGGTGCCTGTATGTGTGCTATTATGGATGTGGTCCATCTGTCCCGAAGTCTTTGGGCTAGTATCTTGCGTGCTCTGTTTCCCTGAGAGTAGTATGAGGCTTTTAATTTTCTTAGTGAGTAGCCTACTTGGGTGAGTGCTAGAGCCTCTTTATCTTGTCCTGTGCTTCTGAGATTTGGCGTTTTAGCTTTGGGGATGGGTGTGTTTTGGTTTAGTTTATTAAGGTCATGTAGTTGTTTGTACCAGGTGACCTGTTGGGCATGGGACATCTGTTTGAGGAAATGGGTGCTTTTTATCAGTTCCCCACGGATAACGGGTTTGTGAGCTAACCCGTAGAAATCTCTGGTGTGGTATTTTCCTAAAAATAGTTCATGAGCGTGTTTTCTATGTGTTTTGTGAATGTTTTATCATGTAACAGTGTTTCGTTCAAGTGCCAGGGGCTTCTGTTGTGTCTGTCAAATTTGTCTTTTAATTCTATGGAGATGGGCGAGTGGTCTGACCACATGATTGTCGCTATTAAGCAATTGAGTACCTGTGTTAAGTGTTTTCCCTCAGTGAGGAACCTATCAATGCAGGTGTAGGAGTTGTGGACCAAGGAGAAGAATGCAAAGTCTTTCTCCGTGGGGTGGAGGACCCTCCATGCGTCATAGAGGTTATGTTCATCTAGTAGTTTCTGGTAAGTTTTGCATTGTCGCCTGGCTTGGGTGCAGCCCTGTGTATTCGGTCCTTTTGACGAGTCTAAGCTGGGGTCGAGAGTGTGGTTAAAGTCTCCACATATTACCAACATTCCCTTCGGGATAGGCGCTATTTTAGCTAGGATTCTGTGTAGGAATTTGCGTTATTCTGAGTTGGGCGCGTATATGTTTACTATTGTGTAGGTGATGTCATTGATGGTGCAGATTAGTATGATATAGTGGCCTTCATCATCCATGACTATGTCATGTTCAGTAAATGCTACTCTGTCACTTATTAACACAGAGACCCCTGTCATTTTTTTATTTTGCCCTAGCGTGATAGTGATGTGGGTATGCAAGGGGCTTAAGGCTGGGCGAATTGGTGGTGTGTCTCCTGAAGGCATACCAAGTCAGATGGGGATTTTTGGAAGTCTTGGAATAGGAGGTGGTGTTTAACAGGGGTGTTCAGACCCCTGACATTGTGACTATGTATTTTCATAAAGGGAGGGCTATAATGTAGCTGGAAGCATAGGGTGTGTATTTCCCTGTATGGCCCAGGAGGTGAGTCTGTTGTGGTGTATGTAAGTAGTGGTGTGGTGTGTACTTGCAATTATGGCATGCAAGAGCTGTGGAGTTGTCGCCTGGCTTGTATCCGTGGTTCTTCCATGACGTATCTGTAACAGCACATCGAAAACATGGCAACATCGAAAACATAAGCATAATATCGTAGACGACTAGCCCTAAAACATTTTTAAACAATACTATATATATTTTTTTTTTTTTTAATATTACAAACATAAATCACAGACTTGTATAGATGTTAAACCTGTAGGTCAAGTTTGGTTGTATAAAATATTAATCCTGCCCTGTGGCTAACATTGACACATAGGAGAATGGTGGGTAAACCCTCTTGAGCCTTTTGTGACGTTGTCATTTGCAAAGTTGATCTGGTGTCTGTAGGAGTGTCTGGCAGTTGTCTTGTGTGTGAGTGTAGTTATTCAGTTGCCTTCCCCTTTATCGTTAGTGTGATGGGTGATAAAACTATTTTTTATTTTTTTTTAATAATTGTATGTAGTGAGCCTGTGGTTTTAATGTGTGACTGCAGGTTTGAGTGTGAGGTGTGTTGCAGAGAGGGGGATATTGCATACTGATACCTGATGAATATGTCCACAATCAGGAAGCATCGCTTCTCAGTCCTGAATCTGTAACACTTTTGTCTGAATATAATGGGTTGATGGGTGGATTATTTTTTCGCCTTCTTCCACTCTTGTTCTATTCACTGCGGCGAGGTTGCACGCCCAGGCTGTTTGCGGACAGGTAGACCCCATTGCTTGAAAGCCTTCAATCCTTCCTCTGGGGTTGACGCGTGGGTGAAGGCTCCATTACACTGTATGATCAGGCACACCGGGTGCCCCCATCTGTAGGGGATCTTTTGTTCCCACAAAAGTATCAGTGACCTACTTGAAGAATTATCCTTTATGGGTATAAAAAAAAAAAAAAGGTAGAGGTGATTTCATCAAAAAGTTAGGGAAGTCAGAGATGGAGTTGATATTTAGACTAAACACCTTAATACCTCATGGCCTCAACTCTGACTTTGAGATTTATAATTTTTTATAACCCAGTTTTTTACTGTGTAGATTTTTCTTTGAAATTCTCTGTTAAGACACCCCCAGTGTCTTTAAGCAAAATCGCTGTTTATTCAACCTTCCCCGTCTGTAATACCAATAATCTCCGTTCGTATAACCTGTAGTGCACGAACCAAATGCAGGGGAAGCGGCAATCTCCCGACCAGGATCCATGAACGGCTCCAAACTCCCGAACGGCAATACACGAACTGCTGCTAGCCGCCGAACAATAACATCCACCAAGCGGCTTTCGTTTCCATCCTGCAGTCTCTAAACGTGAAGAAGAAATCCCCCCCCAATAACGAGACAGAAGCTCCACATTGAGGGTCAAACAGGATCTGGCTTTACTGTGGGCTACCTGCCCATATATATGCAGGTCTCCCACTTGGTGGACACTCCCCTAGGGGACGAAATGGGAGACTTAAATGACAGACAGATATGGGAACATTCCAGACACACAGTTACAGTTTTTACCCACAGTGATTCCCTCCCCTCTGCCCTGGAGATAATTACCAAGTAACTCAATTATCTCCAGGACAAAGCCAGTCACCATTTTAAATATAAAATCAAAAAAAGACATAAAAATACATAACTTTACAAAGACAGAACATTCGCATCACATATCCCCAGATAGCCTGGATCTGAGTGCATATTATTAGCGAATAGCGCTCAGATCCCACACACATAGTTCAAACGCCATGGAGTCAAAGTTCTTACAGTCTTTCGATATACAAATGACTCCATGGGAAGGCTATCTGGGTTAAGTCCTTTCGTATGCTTTCAAAACTCCCGAACGGCCGGTATTCGTATGTTTATGTGGAGGCAGCCAGGCGTTCTGTTGTTTCAGCGGTGTTCGGCAAAAAAAAATGTCCATTTTTTTAGTTCCATAGAAATAGAGCCAAACACCGCTGGGCTTTCACGTGGTTTTAAAATGGCCGCTGCCTCGTGGTTGACATACGAACGACGACCACCCTGAATTCATTTAATTGAGAAGTGTCTGCGGTTAACCACAACGTTCTAATTGGGATCAATAGGTTAACCGGCAACACACTTCTCTCCTGGGTGGCCGTCCGTTCGGCAGGTTTGTTCGGGAAAAACAGTCATTCGTATGGCTGGGCTATAGAAAACAGCCATTTACACGAACAGGATAGAAACAGACGAATACACCTGCAATAACCAGACAGATTGTTCTGTCACACGGCTCCCCCCTTGTGGGACACTCCAGCAGACCCGGCTTGACCCTGTGGCGGGTCAACTTGGGGATGACCGGAATAGGAGGTGGTGGAGACGTCTGTTTGCCGAGATAACCCATCTGCATTCCCGTTCAGCTTACCGGGTCTGTAGCTGATAGTAAAATTGTAGGGATGTAATGCCAAGCTCCATCTCAGTAGTCTCCCATTGTCTCCTGAGACCCGGTTAAGCCAAACGAGTGGGTTGTGATCAGTCACCAGGGAAAACTCTTGCCCATACAAATAGGGGCTTAACTTTTTCAATGCCCAGACCAAGGCCAAGCACTCCTTCTCCACTGCCGCATAATTCACTTCTCTGGGTAACAACTTTCTGCTCAGATATGCGACAGGGTGCTCTCCTCCATCTTCCCCGACTTGGCTCAGCACAGCCCCCAGTTCATACATGGAAGCATCTGTATGGACGAGAAAACGTTTGTTAGGGACTGGGGCAGCCAAGACAGGGGCATTCACAAGAGTATGCACAGGCAAATTCTTGGAAGCCATCCAGGAGTCTATCCACCATCCGTTGGAAGGTAGCCGGTGCATTTTTCATCCCAAAAGGCATGACCTTAAATTGGTACAGGCCAAATGGGGTGACAAATGCCGACTTGGGGATAGCATCCTCGGCCAGGGGGATCTGCCAGTAGCCCTTACACAGGTCTATGGTGGTCAGATATCGCCCCCTGGCAATACGATCCAGTAATTCGTCTACCCGGGGCATTGGGTAGGCGTCAGTGGTGGTCCGCTCGTTGAGTCGCCTGTAGTCCACACAGAACCGGGTGGTCCCATCTTTCTTGGGCACCAGGACTACAGGCGAGGCCCAAGGGCTGTCGGAGTGCTCGATGACCCCAAGCTGGGTCATCTCCTGTATCTCCTTCCGCATTCCTTCACGGACTGCTTCAGGGATACGATAGGGGGGCTGTCGTAAGGGGGTCTGTCCAGGGGTCTCTACCTTATGTACAGCTAGTGTGGTATAACCTGGCTCCTGGGAGAACATCGCCTGCTTCTCCCATAACAACTGCTGCGCCTGTACCTTTTCTGTGGGGTTTAACCTGTCCCCTAGCTGTACAAGGGTAGTGAGGTCAGTCTGGGAATCCCTTTCTAACAAATCGGGAAGGGATAGGGCACATACTGCTGGGGCACATACTGCTGCAATGTTCTTAGGTCTTTCCTGGTACTCTTTCAGCATGTTCACATGAAAGGATCGCTGGACCCTCTCATCTGTACAACTGGCTATCAAGTAAGTAGTATCGCAGATCTGCGCTATCACTCGGTACGGGCCCTGCCAAGATGCTTGCATCTTGTTGGCCTTCACAGGTTTGAGCACCAATACCTTCTGCCCAACCTGGAAGACCCACTGTCGGGCACCCTGATCGTACCATCTTTTCTGTCTCCCCTGGGCCGCCTGGAGATTCTCTCTTATCATCAGGGACAGTTTCTCCATGTGGTCCCGGAGTTCCAGAACATATGGCACTATGGGGTCCTCTCCTGCTCCGTCTCCCCCTCCCAGTGGCCCCGGATGAGATCTAGGGGTCCGCGGACCATTCTCCCATACAGCAAATCAAAGGGGGAGAACCCAGTAGATTCCTGGGGCACCTCTCTGTAAGAAAATAACAGATGAGCCAGGAACCTCTCCCAGTCTCTGCAAGTATCTGTAAAGGTCCTCAGCATCTGTTTGAGGGTACCGTTAAAGCGCTCGCAGAGACCGTTAGTTTGTGGTAAGCTGAGCTAAGTAATGGTT